CGGTTATAGCACTTCTCAGTTGACACCGTTGCGACTTAGCACTCTTTCGCCTCCCTCGTCCCTCTCGCCTGTGTCAAGCTCCCTTGGTACTCGCACAGTTTCACACAGGTGACGAACGAGTCGCAGCCCCCAGGAGGTCCTACCAAGCCGGCCACGCGTGCTTGCTCAAGCACGGACGACCGCCCGGGCGCCACGTCCCGGTCCCACGGAGAAGCCCCCTGCAACGCCGAAGTACACAAGTCAGAGGCCAGGGTACGTACACCCCCCTGAACTTATACACTTGGGTTGCATTGCGGTGATTTTGCGAAGATTGTGTGAATTTTGAGTGATTGCGAGTCTTACTGTGACTGTTTGACTTGGCAGTGTGGGGTATATTGGGTTGGGTAAAGAGTTACCTACTATCCTAATATACAGTGTACCTACAGTATACCTACTGTGAGGCTAGGCTCGGCCGTGCGGCCGAGAAGGGAGTACCTAGTGTGGTTTGCCATAAGACTATTGTAGGCTCCAAAGGGAGCAAGGAAAGGGCAGTCCCGAGGGGGATTGGCCCTGGGTGCATTGTGTATCACATTGCTTGTATTGCGGTGTATAGCATTGTGTAGCATTGTCCAGCATTGTATAGGCAGTGTATTGCTGGGCATTGCTCAGCATTGCCGGGTATAGACTGGTTTGGGTAGCGCCACAGTAGGCGCAGCTGGTTGACGTCACTGTCAGGTCGTTTGGCGCAGTCGTTACAGCGCTACAGGCTACAGGGTTGGACCACGCCACAGAAGGCGCAGTTGTTATACCCGGTTGTCAGATTGGTTTGGGGTGTTTGGATCACCGTTGCAGCGCCACAGGCTGCAGCGTTTGTGCGTTTGATTTGGGTTGGCAGCTGTTTGGATCGCTGCAGGCTGGATTGAGCCTACGTCAGGACTGCTTGCACCATCGCCAGGTTGTTTTGAGCTGCACCACAGAGGGTGCAGCTGGTTTTTGTGCTGACAGGGTGGTTTTTGACTTGTCTGACAGCTCGCAGAGCTGGTTTGCAGCGCTGCAGGTTGTTCTTCGAGCTGCGCCACAGTGGGCACAGCTGGTTTGTATCGCTGCCAGTGTGCTTTGCTTGTTTTGCCTCAGACTGATTGCATCATCGGCGAGATTGTGGCTGGTGGCACTGATTGCCTTGGATCCGTTGATTGGGGGTTGGTGTACGTCAGCAGGTTGGCACACTCGTTGGTACCGCCGTTCGGATTGCTTCAGCAGATTGGCAGAATTGATTGCTTGCGGTGCCTGGTTGCGTGAGAATCGCTGTCTGGTTTGCATTTGGGGACACAATCGCTGCCT